TCCAACCCTTCATCTAGGACATTGATGAAGACATTGAACAAAATCTGACCCAGTACTGATTCCTGGGGAACACCACTAGATACAGGCCTCCAACTGGACTCTGCACCACTGACCACAACCCCTTGAGCTCTGTTGCTTAGTCAGTTCTCGATCCATCTCACAGTCCACTCATCCAACCCATGCTTCCTGAGCTTAATGGTGGAAGGGAAGAAGACATTACCTACTGGAGGACCTATCTATGAAGGTAATCCAGTCTTTCTGTGTGTGTTGTGTACAAATAACACAAATAAGATGTTTCAAGCTGCAGCAGCAGTAGTGTATAATGTACTTCCTCCTTTCTGGCAGCTGCTGCCAGAAGTACCTGAGCTGATACAGATTTGTCTTGATATTTAATATTTTTATCTAGCTATCTCTGAAAATAATAAAAAAAAAAAAATTTGGATTCTGGTTAACACATGGCCTCATTTCTGTCCTGATAGTAACTCCTATGGATCATTGAAGCCATATTAGAAATAAATTTGACCCATTATGTTCAATATCTAGATCATGGAAAACAGTAGAGCCAAGAGTTCAGTAAGTCATAATTCTTGCTCTCGTTTTCCGGTTACAGGTATGATGGAAGATTTTGATCATTGTCCTAATTTCCATTTTTGAAAACAGTCCTTGGTTGTTCTTGATGGATTTAAAAAACTCCCATAAGAATAAATAAGTATGTAGTAATACATACTTACATACTTCTTTCCACCTTTAAGTCTTAAATCTTTTGTATCTGTTGCTGCAGCCTTCTCTTAAGAGGCAGAAGTTCTTCACAGCAGGTCTTAAACAGCTAAACGGTTGTACCTGTGAAGTGACTTTTGTTTATGAATGAGGAAAGTGTTTGCCTGAATGAACTGTTTGGGTTGAAGAAGTTTTCATGGGGCAGCTACTCAGGACCAGCACTAATATTCCTACTACAAGTTCTTTTTCCTCAGTCAGAGATACAGTGATGTCGATGCAAAGATTTTTTTTCCCTAAGGTTGTGGATTGGTAAATCTTGGTTTATCATATGCAGAGCAGTTTGTTCTTTTATCTTGCATTTCTGAAAACTGATAACAAATGCAAAATTCATTTGCAAAAGAACCTGAGACTGTTCATTTCAGATACCACTTTCCCTTCACAGTCTTGATGAATAAAAATTGTGGAAACGCGTTTTCAGTCTTTTTTTTACATTAGCTGTCTTCATCTTCTCCATTGCTATTTGTTTCCTTTCTGTAAAACATTTTATTCTAAAAACTTACCTCAAAAGCCCCCAAACCTATGTTTTTCTTTTTTGTAACTCCGGCCAATGGTACAGCATAGAGAAGTCTCTGATACAGATTTGAACATGTACTTTCTGGTGCCTTTTGCGTGTATTGTTTGCTTCCTCATATATTACTCGGAAGTGATCAAATCTGTAGAGCTGTTTATCTGTACAAAACAAATAATTTGTGGTTATCTTGGGTTTGAATTGTTTATTTTTCTTGTCTTTGTCTTTTTCCTGACAGGGTGGTTGTTTTTCAGATATTTCATAGGCTTTCTTGTGAACCCAGTTGACACCAAGTCACATGTTCCTCCTCTGCACGCTTCCTTTGTTCTCCCCGTTTCTTTCAGGAGGTTTGTGTTCTGCTGGTCCAATTCTGCTTCAGACCCTGAAGCTGACTGAAAAATTCCAGCTGGGAATTCTAGACCCAGCACAGAGCTCGCTGCAGCCTCTTTGCCAGCATCAGTTGTAGTACGCAGACCAACCCCATCCGAGGTGTTGAAAGTAGTTAAATCTGTTTTCATCTGCATAAGCAGATGCTTAAGAGAATCTGCATGTATAGGGGTGTACCAGGAGACAAAATTTTTCATTTGCTGTAAAGAAAATGGAACGAAAATTAATTGTAAGTGCTAGAAAATCCTGGTTTCTAGCCTTAAAAAAATGTAGTGGAAAATTCACTATTCCGTTATGAACTTTATTTTTTCAGTTTTACATCTCAATCTTAACTCCTTTCCAAGAACCATTAGTTTACAGGCATGTTAAAAAAATAAATAATAAAATCAAGGCTTTTTCGTAATTATGTACCTGTCTTAACCTGGTTGAGATATTAAAGGTAACTATTGAAATACATCTGTGGACTTTATAACCTTTGCAGTATCATTTGATCACAGACAAAGTCCAGCAGGTTTGCAGTGGGCAAAATCATGATTTCAGACTTTGTGTCTTACCTGCCTGGATAGATGCCGTTAATCATTCCCGTGAGAAGAGAGGCATATGCTGTCCTCTCACAATTTCTAGCTGGGAATTTTTATTCACAGGCTTCAGGCCCAATTGTCACTTGGACAAAACACGCTGTGTTAGGTTAATTCAGGTTTATCAGGCTGTCCGTGGTATTTCTTTAGAGGTAAATGAACCCACGTTTGTTCTAAAGGTGGAAAAGTCTTAGAGAACAGCAGGGAAGCTTGTTTGCTCTGCAGAATGCATATAAAGAATGTGTATTATAAAATCCTATATGTAAGTTTTATAGCTGTATCAAGCTAAAAACTTTGTGTATTTGTTTATGTATATAGGAAAAGAATCTGAAATGTTCTTGAAAAACCTCTCTAATAAGCTGTGTTACGGGCACCTGGCTGAATCCTTCTGAGATTCCCGATTTTCACAACCCAGGCGAATATATTAAGGTGCTTTCCAGCCAAGTTCATGATTCCAGAGTTAGAGAGGATCAAACGGAGTTTTCACGTGTGTTTCTGCAAAACGTCCTTGCAATTGTTTGCTCTGTGGCTGGTGCTGCTCCCCTAGTTCACAGGCTATAAAGGGAATACAGCACGGAGGATGCCAGTCCCCGAGATGTGCAAACAGGTGAAAGCTGAATTGACATGCGTTTATGATGAACATTCAGATGTTATTTGACGTGTTTTATTTGAAATCCCTTGACCCTGCGTGTCGGAGAAACCTGTGCGTTTCCTTTTAAGGCCCGATCAGCAGCCGCGGTGTCGGTTTCTGCAGTTTTCTCCCAAGTGTGAGAACATCATTGTGTTTTTTACATGCTCCATTTAAATCCTTCTGACATCTGCGTGGGCTGCTTTCCATTCATTAACATAGGGGAGCTGCATCTTCTTCCATGGTGGCTGGTCAGACGCCAAAGACAGATTAAATTTCCTTGCGCCGAGGAACTTGTCATTTAGGCTCTTCGAGCTGGAGCTGGGAGCTTTGGCAGCTCTGCGAAGAGGCAGTGAGAATCATTGCCACAGAAATTATTTTTGTGTGGTCCTGCTGTGCGCCGCTGGATTTCAAATTTGATTTATGGCTGCTCATTTAAAAAAAAAGGGAAAGAAAAAAAGAAAAAAAAAATCTGCATTTGGTTTTGTTTCAGGAGATTATCATGTAAATACTACGGCATACATACTTAATTCTAAAACTGGATTATTTCTAAAATTAAACTCATGGTAATTGCTGGCATATTTTCCAGTTCCTCAAAGTTCTCTGTAAACCCACTGTTGGCTGTGTATTTCCTTTCTTCTATTCATGTAGCTGCCTTTATTCTTTATGGTTCTGCTGAGGTCCCAGAGCAGACAGAAAGTAACTGCTAGAGAAGTGAGCGAAGCAGCACAGCTGAATGCCAGCTACTGCTCCCACAGGTGGCCAGGCTTCTGGAGACACGACTGAAAATACTGGGGAACGGCTCACGGGACAGCACACAGGACCCAAAAGCTTCTTTCAGAACAAGGTGCAGAAACCTTGTCCCTGTTTGGGATGATTTAGCTACACATAAATTTCTTCTTCGCTCCTCACCACTCTTGGCATTTACTATAGACTGCTTAAATAAATCCTTTTCAATTTAGATATCCATTCCAGAGCTACTAAGAATTGTTTTCATTTTGTGTTTTAGTCTCAATTTCATTTGAGTAAGGTGTATATATTTTTGACCCATTCCCTTCTGGACAGAAAGCGTTTCCTGTATGTTTTGGTGTATATTTTTGTTTCGAACCTGAAACATGTTGCTGTTGTGGTTTACGTTGTACATTCCTCAGTAAGTCTGGAAATTATTTTTGCACAGGGTTATCTAATGCTAGTGCTCACTTAATTAGAGTTTACATTTCACATTAATAATTTCTGTTGCAGAAGAATTCAAAATGCGTGACGATTTGTAAGTCGCAAAAGCTGTCATTGCTTGTGGGGAGTAGCTACGGTCTGTAACTTTTAAAATGAGCATTATATGTTTGTTGTTTTGCATTCAGAATGAAGCTGATTGAATTGCACTGGTGGCATACTGTATAGAAGTTTAATCTTCCCAAGTCTGAATAACTTCCTTTTTGGAAGTGCACCATCTCAAATATTAGTGTATATTTCATTTTAAGACAGGCCAAGTTTGACTTTATGACACACTGTATAGGAAATCATGTGAAAGGTTATTCTTTATCCGTGGCATCCTGGGGCAGACATTTTGTTTGTACAAATTGTTCTCTCTCCACTGCTAGGTATCTTCAAAAGAAGGAAGTGGTTGGTATTTAAAATCTTTCTTTGATGGAAAAAGCATCAGCAAGAAAGTGTTTGAAAGTGAAAGGCTGGCAAATGCATGTTTATAAGTAATTTTCATGATTTTAATTATGTGGGTGATTAAAGAATAGTTCTAGTTCTGTAGTGTATATATAAGTGGAGGACACTTACCTCCGAATATAGCTCAAAGTTACACCTCTGCACATTCAGTCGTCTGTACTGGTTTGCTTTAGCTGTGTGTAGAGCAGGTCGGAAAAGGAAGAAGTGGATTCCCATCTCCAAACTAAAAATTGAAAGACTTTGGGCTTAGTGTAGAATAGCTGGATGAAATGCCGTGTATTACGGAGAACAAAGAAGGTGGCAGGAGTCCTTTGGTTGTTGAAATGTATGAGTACACCAGATAAAGGGGCCTCACTATGTTCTAATTCACTGTGCAAATTGTCCGTTTGACATAATCTTCCCATGAAATGCTTGGAAATCTTTTGCAAATTAAGCTAATATGCAGTGTATTGTAGTTTTGTGTCTTCTTCTGTTACGGTCACCATTTACAGCTATTGTTTAAAAGACTTCTGAAACAGCCTAAGCACTGCTGAAAATGAAGCACAGTTGAGACTAACTGCTTAAGATGTGCTGCTTGGTTCAGATGACTGCAACTTGAGATTTGCTGGCATGCATGAATGATTCAGGTGCCCTGAGGTGTCTGAGGATTGATGTAGTATTGAAATAACTAGAGTAACCTTCAAATCATGGAGGTTAACATTGCATTTACTTATGGTTTCCATTTTTTGACACTTAGTTGCTGAATGAAAGAACATAGGCAGTTTTGGTTGGGTGTACTGGGAAATCCTTGAAATGCACAAATGGGCGCTGCATTGCCTGGGTGCCTTTGTGATGAACCTGGTAGTTCTTTTTCTATAAAATATAATAGTTTAATTGAACAATATTTCAACCACAGGAGATGATCCCAAAATACTGTTGATCACAGAATGCTGTGCATGTTAAGCCCCAGTTATTTCCATTAACTGTTACAGTAACTGTTGTATGAAAAAAAATCTTTATCTGTTCAGGTTTTTTGTTTGCTCCCCTTAAAGTATTTTGACAGATAGCAGCTAAAGTAAAAACATACAAAATGACTGAATTTGCAGAGATGTGATTTTGAGCAATATTGGGAGATAAACACTCTCCACTTAGGAGATGTGAGCTTTAGAGCAGGGACTATTAATCTGCATTTACTTAAGTCAGTGCAAATATGGAATAACTCCACTGAAGTTGAAAGTTTAATAAAGAATACATTTATAGCTGCTTTATATGTGGTAATTTCTCTATAGAAATCTTTGCTGTTAAAATCTTTGTTGCTTTTCCTTTCCATTTGTGCCAAAGGTTCTCATTCATACCCCTTCAAGGCATTTTAAAGTAGCAGTAGCAGTTCTAACAGTTGACCCCTCAGAATGTCTTTTACCACGAGCGGAGGCTTATGAAGAGTGGGGAAAGGGAATTTCCTTTTCATTTATGGATCTTCTCTTCTACCTGCCGAAAATACAGACCTCATTTACCAGATGATAAAAATCCCTTTTCCCTCAAAAAAGTATTAGAGTGCCTTGAGCTTTGTATAATATTTGATACAAAGCCTCACTGCAAGCAGTTCTTACTTCACTGCTCTTCAGCTGATGACTGAATCCTGGTTCACCTGGCTGATGATGGGAAAGAGCACCAAAATGTGGAAGACAGCTGTTGCCATTCTTCCCCTTTCCTTGTTTGGCCTTGTTAAAGAAGAGTATTAATTGAAACTGATATTTTGAAAAATGTAAAGAAAAAAGGCTGGATTTGAGATTAACTGTGTGATTCCTTAATCTCAGAATGACCATTTGTACTCCAAATGATACACTTTATTTTGGATTGCTGCTACCTTCATCTTCAACCTTGCTGAAAGACAGATTTCCTTTTCCTTTCCATCAATGCAAGGAGCTTGACAGATGATATCTAGACTTGATTTTATTGTCTCTGGGACCCTGTATATGATATATTTTTGATGTATGAAAATGAAAAAAAAAATGAAAATGGGTTTGGGGTGTGGGAGAGTTTGAAACATACAGCCGTGTACAGTTGTATGGATGTGGGACCCCTGCGAATTTTAAATTGTTTTTCTGGAAATCAGTTTGCAAGAATGTGATCATGCATTTTTGAGTTTGTATATACAACAGCTTTTTTTTTTTCCTTCATTCTCCTTACAAAGAGATGCTTAACTGATATTGTTCTCTTTTTTAATTATTCTTTTCCAAATCCATGTACTTCAGTAGAAATAATATTGTTTTAAGATCGGGAATTTTATTACAGTCTAAAAACCATCAGATACACCTTTTACATACAAGTGAGGAATGAAGCATGTGCAACATGTTACCTAGAGTGGAAGGCTGCTGTATTCTGCCCATGTATCGTCACTGGTGTGAGCAGTGGCATCAGCTCCTACACACGTGTCTGTGCTGGAGGTGGCTTTGGGTGCTTTGGAAGGGCTGGACAGAGGGAATGCCTCTTGGGAGAGCAATGAACTTGCTGTGTGTTACCTGAACTGCTGTTACAGCTACCTGTTAACTGTATGAGGTTTAATAAGGCCAAGTGCCAGCTCCTGCTCTTCGGTCACAACCCCATGCAACACTACAGGCTTGGGGAGGAGTGGCTGGAGAGCTGCCCAGTGGAAAAGGACCTGGGGGTGCTGGTTGACAGCCGGCTGAACATGAGCCAGCAGTGTGCCCAGGTGGCCAAGACGGCCAACAGCGTCCTGGCCTGTATCAGCAATAGTGTGGCCAGCAGGAGTAGGGAAGTGATCATGCCCCTGTACTCGGCACTGGTGAGGCCGCACCTCGAATCCTGTGTTCAGTTTTGGGCCCCTCACTACAAGAAGGACATTGAGGTGCTGGAGCGTGTCCAGAGAAGGGCAACGAAGCTGGTGAGGGGTCTGGAGCACAAGTCTTATGAGGAGCGGCTGAGGGAACTGGGGTTGTTCAATCTGGAGAAGAGGAGGCTGAGGGGAGACCTTATCACTCTCTACAACTACCTGAAAGGGGGTTGTGGTGAGGTGGCCGTTGGTCTCTTCTGCCAAGTAACTAGTGATAGGATGAGAGGAAGCAGCCTCAAGTTTGTGCCAGGGGAAGTTTAGATTGGATATTAGGAAAAATTTCTTTCCGGAGAGAGTGGTCAAGGATTGGAACAGGCTGCCCAGGGAGGTGGTGGAGTCGCCATCTCTGGAAGTGTTCAAAAAACGTGTGGACATGGTGCTCCGGGACATGGTTTAGTGGGCATGGTGGTGTTGGGTTAACAGTTGGACTTGATGATCTTGAAGGTCTTTTCCAACCTTAATGATTCTGTGATTCTGAGAAGAGCAAAAGGGTTGAAGTAAAAGAAGACAAAATTAAAATGCTGTCTCTATAGAAAAGGCAGAATTGGAATATACCTACTTTTTTACCTCCGCACACCGTTTCTACAACTACTGATTTGATTACAGCTCTGACTTCTCTGTCCTCTCAAGAGGTGTGGAAGAGGACAGAGAGAATATGAAGTTGCAAGCATAAAAAATTAATTTAGTCCAATACATTTAAAATAAAATCATCTTCTCTGGATCAGTAAAGACCTTCGTATTGTCAGGATACCACGTAGCTATTTTGAAGTGCTAATGCTGAGATACTCTGGAGGGCAGACATATGGATCAAGTGATATACTCTGTGGTCTTTGTGATTTTTTTTTTTTATAAGAACTGGAGTGTCTTTTTATTTACTCAATTTTCATGTGTCTGTAACTTCATGGTATAGATTGGGAAGCTGGTTGACCTTTAATGGAAAAGGAGATTTTTCTCTTGTGTTGGTCTTCAATTTCAGCTTCTGCAAATTCAAAGTAATTCTCTAAAATGCATCTCACTGGTGCTCTTAATGAATGGAATTAAACCATCTCAATACCATCACAACTGAAACTGGGAAAATAAAAATTGGAAATGTACTAGAGAAAATAAATTAATACATTTCTGTATAATGCTGTTTAGTTTGCTTTGAAGTGGATTACTTGCTGTTGAAAGGTTAATAGTGACTGTGCTTGTATTGTTTTGGTTTTTGGCAGGTAACCCTGGACTGGCAGGTTATTACAGGACCTTTATACAGGCCTTATATTGTGGACTAAATCAGCAGTATCCCGTGTGGGTTGTGAGCCACGCCGGACATTGTAAGCCTCCCAGTGGTATGGAAATGATAGAAGGTACAGTACTGTAATTTGTACATATAAATATTTGTATACCCTCCAATTTTAGTAGCAGAACTTGTGCCTATTAAAAACAGCATGACACGGTTTTTAAACGTCTCCATTATATTTCTACAGAACAGTTGTATGAGAAGCAAAGTTACTGATAAAAAGAGGTTTTTTTAGGTAAATTAGATTTGCCAATCAAATAAGTGCTATTAAGAGAATAAGGGAGTTTGCTGATTGCAGTCTCTAGAGACAAGTTATAGAGAAGAAGGTCTAGAATGTGTTTCTGTTGAGTAGATTAGAAAAGTACATTTGCTAATGAAATGTCCAATTCAGAGATTGAGTGCTTGAGGAGAGACTTAATTATCTCTGAATTTAAAAATAGTTGTACTAAATTAATGACTTTCCAGGAAGCAAGTAAATCTGAGGTACGGGGCATTTGCAGGGTAGAGGTTGCTTGTTTGTTAAAAGTCTTTTGAGGTACAAATGGCCAGCAAGGCATGGTAGCCAACTCTAAGTGGATATTGTTGATGTACAGCGCTGTAAGATGGGGAGAGCCAGTAGCGAATCCTGTCCTGAAAGCTGCCTAGTGTCAGAAGACCTCTGGACTTGGTCAAGCTGCAGTGATGTAGCAGTAAATCAGTACGATTCCTTAGGACTAAAAGGTCCAGCAACGTGAAACAACCTGAAAATTTTGAGGAAGAAACTGGTTTAGCTGTTTAGCATAACTTTCCCTCACTAAGTTTTGCACCTGAGTTTTTTATTGGTTTATGTAATCTCAGGTTTGAAACTGAAATATGAAACCTGTATTTCTTTGGTAAAATTCCTGCCAGTCATTGTGTTCAAGTGTCAAGCTACCAAATGCTATGCTTTTTCCCAGTAGGTGAGAAATCCCTAGATTTATAATTTCTGGTACAGTGTTAGCCATGGAATAGAGGTAGAAGTCTGGCAACTGAATGGAGCTGAGTTGATTGCAGAGAACATTTGTAGGTCTGATAACCTGCCCTGGGATCACATCTGTAAATATGCATTTAGTGAAAAGAGCCTTTGATGGTGAGATGTGTTTGGTGGCTTGAGATGGCTGAGCTACTTGAAATGGAGAGCTTTTTAGATGGACCCAACACGGCTGTTGTACAACTGTCCTACTTCCACTGTGACAGCCCCTGTGCTGCTAAGGAGAATGTAAATCTGGGGGAAGGAGAGCATCCAGTAGGAAAGAGGGAGCTGATATCTAAGACAAAACCAAATCTCCAGCTGACTTCACAGTGTCCCTTTTGCACTGAAAATGATCCTGTGAGAGGGGATTTTCAAGGATGTGGTAGCTTGTTAGCATGGACAGGTCAGAAGTGAAGTACCAAAAGGATTGGTGCTGTGTCAGGTTTTATTCAATTCATTCTGCAGGTCATGGGTGAATATGAGTAAACAGTGAAATTTCTCAGTTTCTGGATGGTACTTTATAGCTTTTAATTACTGGGAAGCTATTAGATGTCAGGGAACTACAGAACTATCTTACAAAATGTAACTAGTGGGCAAAAAGATGGTAGATGAGTGCCAGGATAGATAAATATGAGTTAAAGCATCTGACAGAAAAAAAAAAAAAAAATCTCCTTTAACTGTGCCTGGACGATCCTGAACTTGGAATTCATTTGTAAAACTCAGGAAGGATACTGGCATCGTCACCTAGAGTTCTCTAATATCACCTCTCATTGCACAGCAGCAGACAAAATTTAAGTCAAATAAACATTGGACATAACCAGTTACAGCTAAGGCAGGAGGCATTGGTTTTTTACTGTATGTAACCATACTGGACCTGCATCTTGAATATTAGAGTGCAGTTCTGATGAGCATCTCAAGGACAACATTTCAAGAGTGAAGTTGGTGAGTGTATGGAGAAAGGCAACTAAAACAACTGGGAGGAAGCAGCTTCCTTGTTAAGAGAAATTAAATGGCTCTTTGTTTTAGGGAGCAGAATGGTTCTCAGGAGCATGACTAGTGTTTTCAAAATCATGACAGTAAATAAGGTAAATGGAGAATAAAATATACCAGATTCAGTAGTGGAACTAATGGTCACTTAGTAGTACTAGCTGGTTTAACACAGACAAAAGCAAGTATTTATTTATGTGACAGGTAAAAAATTTAGGGAACTAGCAGCCAAAGCACTATACCGTGGGCAAATTATATTAGCATTAGAGTGATAAATTAACCTAATGGACAACTGGTCCATAAGCAGCTGCTGAAAAAGACAGGTTCTTTGTTGTGCAGATGCGCTGCGGTCCTTGCATTGGAGACTGAGGTCCTTGCTTTGGACACTGACCTTCTCCAGAGTCCTGTGCTGCCCTGGTCCCAGTGCTATCTTGTGGCAGGGTTGTGAGCCTGAGAGATTCACCACAAGGGGAAGGGATGCAGAACGTGGCCAGGCTTGGTTTCTCTCACTAAATAGCATTTACTGCCACTGTTGAGCTTGTGGGATTCACTTACCTGACCCAATAAGGTGTTTTGTGTGTTCTCAGTATCATGTGCCAGGATCTGTACTTACTGGTGCACCTACTGTAGCACCATGGAACTAAAAAAAAATATAGAAAGCCACTGATGGACAGTTCAAAAAATAATGAAAAGGCATTTATGAGATTGTTTTTGTAGCTATTTTATTAGGAGCATAGGAGGAGGAAGCTCACGTCCTGTCATTAGTATACATTTTGACTGTATTCTAGAATATTCCATAGGGAGACTTTTTCAAGCTAGTCTTCTAAGGGAACCCTGAAAAGTTTAGTGACAATATTTAGTGAAATAATGATGTTACTACAGTTGCCATGTGTAATATGCTGCGCTTTGCAGTAGCTTTGAATATAATGAAAAAAATATGGTTCATTTGATACAAATTCAAGGGAAGGCACAGAGTGGCTAGAAGGCCTTATATTTTGCCATTTTATGACAATGTAGCGTGCCTGCAGTGGGAGAAGAGATTTGGGATAATTCATAGAGTCGTAGAATCTTTGGGTTGAAAGGGACCTTATAAGGTCATCTAGTCCAACCCCCCTGCAGTGAGCCGGGACATCTTAAAGTAGACCAGGTTGCCCAGAACCCCATCCAACCTGACCTGGAATGTTTCCAGGGATGGGGCATCTACCACCTCTCTGGGCACCCTGGGCCAGTGTTTTACCATCCTCAGTATGAACAATTTCTTCCTTCTATCTAGTCTAAATCTGGCCTCTTTTAGTTTAAGACCCCTTGTCCTGTTGCAACAGGCCCTGCTCAGAAGTCTGTCCCCATCTTTCTTCTAAGCCCCCTTCAAGTACTGAAAGGCTGCAATAAGGTCTCCCTGGAGCCTTCTCTTCTCCAAGCTGAACAACCCCTCTCTCAACCTGTCCTCAGAGGAGAGCTGTTCCATCCCTCTGATCATTGTTGTGGCCTCCTCTGGACCTGCTCCAACAGGTCCACATCTTTTCTGTGCTGAGGGCTCCAGAGCTGGATGCAGTTACTGCAGGTGAGGTCTCACCAGAGTGGAGTAGGGGGGCAGAATCACCTCCCTTGACCTGCTGGCCACACTGCAGGCCCAGAGACAGTTTGCCTTCTAGGCTACAAGTGCACATTGCCAGCTCACGTCCAGCTTTTCATCCACCAACACCCACAAGGCCTTTTCAGCAGGGCTGCTCTCTATCCCTCCATCCCCCAGCCTGTACTGATAACAGGGGTTGCCCGGACTCAAGTGTAGGACCCTGCACTTGGCCTTATTGAACCTAATGAGGTTCACATGGGCCCATTCCTTGACCTTGTCCAGGTCCCTCTGGATGGCATCCTGTTCCTCAGGCGTGTCAACTGCACCACTCAGCTTGGTGTCATCTGCAAACTTGCTGAGGGTGCACTCGATCCCAACTGTCTCTGTCACTGATGAAGATATTAAAGAGTACTGGTCCCGGAGGGACAACCACTCGTCCCTGATCTCCATCTGGACATTGAGCAGTTGACTACTACCCTCTGGATGTGACCATCCAACCAGTTCCTCATCCACCCAACAGTCCACCCATCAAATCCATCTCTCTCCAATTTAGAGGGAAGGATGTTGTGGGGGACCATTTCAAAGACCTTACAGAAGTCCAGATACCTGACATCTGTAGCTCTTCCCTTGTCCACTGATGTGGTCACTCCATCATAGAAGGCCACTAGGTTGGTCAGGCAGGACTTGCCCTTGGTGAAGCCATGCTGGCTCTCCCAAATCACCTCCCTGTCCTCCTTTTAGATATTAGAAACTGATTTGCTTTCTTTTATTTATTTATTTATTGTCAAAAATATAATTGTTAGGAATTGACTGTAAAGGTGTGATCAAAACCACTAGACCAAAAATTGAGCATCTTTGTGATTTCCCAGGTGAAAGACTGAACGGAGTCATGGACTCATTGCTCATTTTGTGCTCCTGCTCTTGCATTTCACAGGAGTTCTTAAGTGACATTTTGTGTCACTAGAGCAAAAACCCCACAACCCGAAGGACCAACAGAAGCACAAGCATAGGAACAGACAAATCTGTTCTCTGCAGCAGTTTGTTGCCTTTTACGTTCTGGATTTCTCAGTCAAAGTTCCTGTATCAAGGACCACTATGTAGGATTGAGAAAACCATGTCAATTATTAATATGCTGTACAAAACCAGAAAAAAAGGGGATATTTTGGCAAAGAACTGGGCATGAAACTGTTACTGTAAAAATTCCCTGTATTCCTTCATGCTTCTGATAGGCATTTCATAATGCTTCATTTGAAAGAGCCTCATGCAAATCCTCTGAGGAAGTTCAGTATTTCTTTGTAAGAAGGATGAGGGCATAAATTGACAAAGACAACATTTGAATCTCTGACACCATTGGTTCTTGAAGTTTTTCAGATTGGAATCTAGCAAATAAAAAATGAAAAATAAATGGGGGTGGTAGAAGCTACTAGGAAAGAAGAATTCATGCTGATGCATTTAGAACAGTGGTCTACAAACCTTTTGGATCATGCACTCCTATCAGTAAAAATTTTCCATCGAT